TGCATTTGGGTCCAAGAGGTAATGGACCTTGCTGCCAAAGAATTGAGCCACTGTTTGGCTCGATCCTTAAGTGAAAATGGGAACAAAATTAAGCGTACGACATCTTCATTCACATGTTGAAGTCTAACTGTGGAGCAAACCTCTAAAAATTCATCTAAGTGTTTGTATGGCTCCTCATTTAAATTCCCATAATAATTTGGCAACAATTGGATGACACTAGTTTTGATCTCATAGTATTGTGTCTGGACATTGGGGATATGGATACATGAGGCTGAAGTGTAGGTGGTGGGTGCGAAATGTTGGGTAAGGGGCACATGTGCGGGTTCATCCTGATCAGCCAACCTACGTGCTTGTTTTCTATTCCTCTTACAAGTGCGTTCAATTTCAAGATTCAAAGGTAATAACTATTCGTTACAAGACCTTCTAGTTTGCATTCACCAACCAAACACACAAAAGGCTCAACAAGCAACGCAACAACAATCTCAAAGAAAATTAACTAATGCAAAGCCTAAGAAACAAATTTTACTAAGCACACGAAACAAAACTAAAACAAATCTAAAATCTAACGAAACTATACCCAACGAAATTTCACACAACAAATATGTTTAATCAAAACTAAATTTATCAATGCAACCTAAAAGAATTTAATACTAAGAACAAAAATTAAATCCTAGGAATAAAAAAATCAAAGGTTAAGAGAATTTCACAATCGGGTCGTGCAAGATCTTTACTGCTCATGACACGCTGAAGCGTTTTCCCAATTGCAATTTTCCTAAAAAACAAAAACAAACGCAAATGAAACTATTCCAATGAAAATAAAATAAAACGAAGTAAAAATAAAATTACGCAAACAACCTAAAAAGAAAATAATTAACCAACAATGCAAAGAGACAAACTAAACGAAACACAAAAATTAAACAATTCACCCAAACAAATAATCACAACAAAGAAATAATACAAACAAACAACAAAGACTAAAATAAACCTAGAATAAAAACTAATGACTACCCAAACACACGAAGTCAAAAGCACGTTGCTCCCCGGTAACGGCACCAAAATTTTGTTGAACTAGTCGTCACAGTCACAAAATTAAACCTAAATACCATAGTCAGCAGTAAGCAGGGTCAAATCCACAGGGAGCAAGACTAACAACCTAATGTATTTTGAGTAGCAGAAATGAAATTGGCAATTGATTAATGAAACTAAATATACTAAATGTAAATAATGAAAGAGTGAAATTAAAACTAATAAAGACTTTATAATAAAAATGTTGCCGTTACAGTTTTGGTTCGACATGAGACCAACTCACACAATTCTTCTCCACCCTCTACAATCCCCTAAACCTACAAGGCAAGGTAAATCAATGAAATGACCTCCCGACACTCTAGGTATAATCTATCCTGTCTCACCCGATCACTCAAGTTCGATTGGTTAAAGACTATCATTGAACGCCGATAAACGCTACAAGGCAATACCACTAGTTGGTACGCAATTAACAAATACAATTTGTCAACACGTATATTCCAATCAACCAACTTCACAATAAATGCAGCAACAGTAGAAATTAAATTAAATCCTAACACAACTCAATTACAATCGATGCGAAGTAATGAAAAGCAATATTCATCATTTAATTATTTCAAACCAACGTTTATCATTCAGCAAGTTCTATGAAAACATTAAATCATAATGGACAACAATATTCATCACAAGTTATGCTCAAATCCTATTAAAGTATCGAAATCAAACATGAAACGAAAACAAATATAATCAGAAGCACAATACTACCAAATGTCCTATAATCAGGCTCATCCAACTAGTCGAGAGCTGATGAGGAGAGTTGTGGAGTCAATCTCGATCTCGCCTATGCCGTAACAGACTACTGGGAACTTAGCCGCCCATGGTGGTGATGACGGAGGCTGAAACGGTGGAAACGAAGCTAACCATGGCGGAGAGGAGGTAACTGACAACGATATGATGCGAACAAGGGGCAAAAATGACCAATGAACAGCCTGAAATACGAACAGCCGCACTCGCAGGAAAACGTTAATTTTTCGGCAGGTCTTCTGAAAAATGGTGGCGAAAATGGGATCCGAAGGTACCGATGGAAAGCTCTGGTGATGGGGAGTTCAGATCAGGCCTTAGGGAGGTGAAAAGTCACCGGAAATAAGCAAGATCTGGGCTGGAAGATGAAGAGTCGCAGTGGCTAGATGGCGGATTCCGGTGGTTTTTGCGGCAGCTAAAGCTTGAGATGTGTAGATCCGACCATGGGGAAGGGAGATCAACCTTTAGGGAGCCCAAACGACGCCGAAAAATGACAAAATCTGGTTGGTAGACGAAACGTCACGGCAGCTCTTTACTTCCCATGGTGGCGTTGACAGTTGATGAAGATGATAGATGGTCGGGGAAGATGAATCGTCGCCAGAGGTCGTCGAAAAGGAAGACGAAGGGTCGCCGGAAAATGATGAACAGTGCCCCCTGGATCTACGACTTTTTCGTTTTCTTTTATAGAAAATGTTTCAAAATATCACTTTGGTCCCTGTATAATTGAAAAATGACAAAATCAGTCCTTATAAATACGACAGTTTACCCCCTAAACACTATAAATGAGACAAAATCACCCATAATCTATAAACCACAACCTAATATCAACTCATATCCTTTCCAAAATCATTCCAAACACGTTAAATTCATAAGAAAAATATTAGGAAGCGATTTTCGTGAATAAATTCATAAATTTTTTAATTGTTTCAATATACTTCAATTTAATCACACTTGGGGTATTTTTATCATCAAAATAGTCACTTTCATGACTCTAACAAGTTTCCACTGCCTGCTTCTTGATTAATCGCATGTCGTCTTCTGTCCTTCATAGTGAGACCCCATACAATATTCTTTTTCCTAACAAAGCATTATTTCCTCTTGAACCTAGGATATTTGGTAGCACTTGCTTTATTTGGGATGTTTGACAGTTAGTCACCAAATTAGATCCCAAGTCATTAAAATGTGTCTTTCTTGGTTATTCTCGACTTCAGAAAGGATATCGGTGCTATTGTCCAAGTCTTAATAAGTAGCTTGTTTCCATTGATGTTGCCTTTCTAGAAGAAACACTATACTTTCCATCTTCTCCTGCAGATCGTCAGAAGGATGATGATTTGTTAGTTTATACCTTTACCACCCATGTACCTATATCTGAACCAGCTCCTGTCTCTAGCCCTGTGACCTTTCCTACGCTTCCTGCATCTGCTCCTATCTCTGATCTTACTCTTGTCAAAGTCTACTCTTGTCGTCCACCTTCTCCTACTTCATGTCCGGCACCAACTTCTTTGTCATCAGATCCAGTTTCAAGTGATGATCTTCCTATTGCATTGCGAAAAGGTAAACAGTAGTGTACTTATCATGTTTCTTCTTTTGTTTCTTATGATCATTTGTCACCCTCATTATGCTCTTTTATTGCTTCCTTTGATTATATTACTATCCCTAAAATTGTTCATGAAACCCTTTCTCATCCTGGTTGGTGTAATGCGATGATAGAGGAGATGAATGCCTTAGATGACAATGGTACTTGGGAATTGGTAGATTTACCTTCAGGGAAACAGGCTATTAGATGCAAATGGGTGTTTACAGTTAAAGTTAATCTAGATGGGTCAGTTGCTCGGCTAAAAGCTCGTTTGGTTGCTAAAGGATATGCTCAGGCCTACGGAGTTGATTATTCTGATACTTTTTCCCCTGTTGCTAAGTTAACCTCTATTCGACTGTTTATCTCTATGGCAGCTACTTATGATTGGCCTTTGCATCAGCTAGCCATCAAGAATGCTTTTCTTCAAGAAATCTTCAGGAAGAGGTATATATGGAGCATCCTCCTAGGTTTGTTGCTCAAGGGGAGTATGGGAAAGTATGTTATCTTCGCAAATCTCTGTATAGTTTAAAACAGAGTCCTCGTGCTTGGTTTGGAAAGTTTAGTCAGGCTGTTGAGAGATTTGGTATGCTGAAATGTAAAACTGACCATTCTGTTTTCTACAAACGATCTGAAACTGGCATCATTCTTCTAGTTGTGTATGTGGATGATATTGTTATTACTGCGAGTGATAGTGTGGGCATCACATCTCTTAAGTATTTTCTCCATACCCAGTTCCACACAAAAGACTTAGGGATGTTGAAGTATTTCTTGGGGGTTGAAGTTACAAGGAGCAAACGAGGTATATTCCTCTCTCAGAGGAAATATGTGCTCGACTTATTAACTGAGACAAGGAAATTAGGGGCAAAGCCATGTAGTGCTCTGATGGTTCCTAATGTGCAGCTTACGAAAGATGGTGAGCTATTTGGAGATCTTGAGAAATATAGAAGATTGGTCGGGAAGTTGAACTATCTTATGGTGACTCGTCCAAATATTGCATATTCAGTAAGTGTTGTTAGTCAGTTTATGGCCTCCCCAACAGTTCATCATTGGGCAACTTTGGAGCAGATCTTGTGTTATTTGAAAAGATCCCCTGGACGTGGTATATTATATGCCAATCATAGTCACTCTCATATTGAATGTTTCTCAGATGCAGATTGGGCAGGTTCCAAGGTAGATAGAAGATCCACATCAAGCTATTGTGTCTTTGTCAAAGGAAATTTAATATCATGGAAGAGCAAGAAGCAGAATGTCGTGTCACGATCAAGTGCAGAGTCGGAATATAGGGCTATTGTAAACCCCACCGATGCATCCAAGGGTAAAATAGTCTTTTCCTTTTTATGTGTGAAGTTAACTACCATGCACATGCCTTAGGGGTAAAGTGGTAAAAGAATAATGATATTTTGTTGGCTTGACAAGATAAAGATGATGAAGGATTAAGGAGTAATTAATAGACAATTTTTGAGGGCAAAAAGGGAAATAATGTTATAGGACATTAAATGCAAAAGACAAATGTCAAATGAATAATTTTTAGCAAAAAAAAAAAAAAAAAAAAAAAAGATATTAGGTGATAAGAGTCGGCCAACATGTCTTCTACCACTTTTCATTTCTTTTCTTCAAGTTTTCTACAAGCTTCCATATTTTCTTCACTTCTCCATTAAAGTTTCAAGTCTTTTAGTTGCAAATCTCTCAAGTGTCTTATATTTCTCCCTTTATTAAGGATATTAGGAGGTAAAGTTCAACTCCTTATCTTATATAAATATTGTGTATTTCAAGTTATTGAAGTTTCCTTATAATTTGTGTTAGGATAAGGGTCAATTGGAGATAAGGAGGAGGAAATTTGCAAAGGAGTGTGGTTTCTTGACATAAGGTAAGGGAAACCTCCCTTTAATAGGAAATAAGAATTAGGTTTCTAGGGTTAGTATTAGGGAACCTTAATTCTTGTCACACAATAGCAATTGAGCTTAGTTTGATGCTATAATTGATGGATTTATATGTGAATTGTAAAAACAATGAACTTTGATGACAATCAATGGAATTAGTTGTGACATGATTTTTTTAACATATTACAAGGGAGGTTATTAGTGATCATTTAACATGTTTTCACAGGGGAGAATGGTTAGGAAAGGTTAGGAAGTAAGTGGAGGTAAATAGGTAAGGAAAAGCCCTAAAATAGGCATGTTACCCTGGTTGCCCTGTCACAGCCGTGACCTTCTAAGTGATTTTTGGGCATCTTAACGATTGAACTGGGTTGAGACCTAAACATAAAAGTTGTAGCCCTGTCTCTAAGCTTTAAAACGAGACCAGGATCATATCAATCCGATGTGTGTAACTCAAGTTATGCCTTTTTGAATCTGACCTGTGCAGAATGATTGATTCCAAGTATGGAAATGATGCTTAAAGAGTTTTGAAGTGTATTTGAATGAGTGATCCTTATGATTTTTTAGTGATTGTATGAGCATATATAATTGATGTAATGAATGACCATGGAGGTTATGTGGAATATGTTATGTATTACCTAATTATGAGCTTGTGTGTGTATATACAAGCCTAAGTATGATATGTTTGATGAATATCTTATGCATCCACAATATGGCCATGATGAAATGATATGTTCATATATGGAAAGTGTATGTTTTTTTTAGAATAAAGCATGTCAAGCATATTAATGATGAAAAAGTGGGACTTGATCCCAAGTTTGAGCAAAATACTTCCAAGGTACATAGACATGCATTTTTGTGAAGGAAAATGATTTGTAAATGTTATGGAAAATGTTGGCATGTTATGGGGAACCTGAGCTCACTCATGCACATGTCTAGACCGAAAGAAATGAACAGTCCATAGCGTGCATGACCATGGGGACTGTGTTATAAGTTAAGCTTAGCTCATTGGCCAAAGGTTCCGTAATCCATGCCTCAGCTTAGTCCGATCGGTAAACAGTAAAAGGTTTTCAAAGAAAAATTTATTTATACATGCATGACATTGATGTGCATTATTCATGAACATTAAAGGAAAGCATTGCGTGAATTATATTATGCATTATGATATGGATTGAATATGCTATGTTATATTACTTTTATGTTATAAATGTTTGGTTCATGTACAAGTAAATAAGATGCTTCCTAAGTTTAAGAATGTTACATAGGGTTAAATGATCGATACCCTTACTGAGTGATTAGCACTCATCCCCCTAGTTTCCATGTTTTGCAGGTAATGGTTAAAGCGGTAACGGCGAGTGGCGGTCAAGGAGGCTTGGGGCATGCATGTTTTTGTTCTAGCTAAACTTATGATGTTATATAAAGGATGTTGCTTTTGAATTTAATGTATATAGTTTAATGTTTATAATCTAAGTTTTATGAAATGGTAAATATATTTTGCTTATAAATGATGGGAGATATTTTATATTTGCTTCCGCTATTAAAACAATTGATGTTGTTGTTTTCTTTAAACCATATTTTTCATATATAGTCATGTCTTGATAGGTTGATTAAGAAAGTAATATAAATGCGAGGAGAAGTTTTTATTTATTTATTTCCATATAGGACATGTTTGTAACCAGGATTTACGTTTTAAATTACACAACCTTCCAGGTGTGAATTCTCTAATTTTCCATCCTAATGGAATACTTAGAGGGTACCCGGCTGGAGGGGAGTGTTACAGCTATGGCACAAGCTGTTTGTGAAATAATGTGGATATATCAGCTCCTGACTGAAATAGGCCTTGAAACTTCAATACCAGCAAAATTATGGTGTGATAAACAAGCAGCTCTTCATATTGCATCTAATCTAGTGTTTCATGAACGAACGGAACACATTGAGATCGATTGCCATTTTGTTCGTGAGAAACTACAGCAAGGTCTGATTTCCACTGGGTACGTGAAGACTGGAGAACAATTGGGAGATATCTTCACGAAGGCTCTGACTGGGATTCAAGTTGATTATCTTTGTAACAAGCTGGATATGATTAATATCTGTACTCCAGCTTGAGGGGGAGTGTTACAAATGTATATTTGGTAGTTATAGGTTGCATATATTTAGAAGTTAATTTCCAGGATTATAGGGATCACATTGATATTGTATCATTCTTTTTCTCTATGAAGAAGGCAAGTAGAATACTCATTCTTAATACTTGTTACAATCTGCAAATATTAAGATAACATTCTTCAACTTTTCTCAAATCTCAAGTATTTCTATCTCAGTAAGCTATGTCATTAATCAATTTCATGATAATGAGTTTTTACAGTAACTACGGTTGCCAAACTAGTAAAAAAAACACTAGGTTGACTTGACTAGTAGATATTGTGGTCTATCAAGAGCTCAAGACTCGTAAGTCAAACAGTGATCCAGCTCCAGTGGCTGCTGGCATCTATAGATTGTTTGTCTTTGCTCTCACTTCCATTTTAATTGATTTACTGTTGGCTTTTTCAATTTAATGTATAGCCCTCCATTAATATTACATTAAATGCATTTTCAAGAGTACAGCAAAGCATCCTCTCTGTGTAGTAACATAACATTCCATTTTGGGAAAAAGAACTGAAAGATGACAGTAGCGATCGATCGTTCTACGACAACGGACATGGGATAGTTGTGATACTTAAAGAGGTGGAGCCATTTTAAACAGTCATTCTTCTTCCATTTTAACCATACATTCCACCCCTTACAATTTCATCAGTAAAACAAGATTCGGCAAAAGAAAAATTAAGCTCTTGCAATTTGCACAGATCTCCAGCAGATTAATAATGAATTTGACAAAAAAATTAACAGATTCTTTCTTGGTTATGGTTAATGAAAGGTATTCTCTGCAAATATTTATTAATTTAAAGTAAGATTAAGTAGCTAACAATGAAACGCACTTTATATGGTAGCTAGCTTCCTGAAGAAAAACGTTGCAGTATGGAGCTACCACCATTAATTAAGTTGAAAATTGTCGGTGACATTTCCAGAGAATTATAGGTAAGACTTTGATGCGGGTGCAGTTAGTTAGGTTAGAACATTTCTTTCAAGCTACCTAATGGCTATTTTTTGAGTTTGTTTTTCACCAATCACCATTAGCTTTATGAGGTTTTGTGTGTTACGCTACATATACCTACTGAGTGGATTTTGAGCCGACTCATTAATTAATTCAAGAATATTAGAAAATTAATTTTCTATTAAAAATATTAATTTTGGTTCATAAAAGGTAGTGTGTCAAATGCTAAATAAGAGGTCAATTAGGGTGTGGATTACTTGTGAAAGTTGATCTTATGCGTACTGATGCAGTTTTTAATTTAATTTTCAGATTTATATACATGAAATTGAAAGTACTCATTACAGTGACCATATATATCTTTATGGTTAGCGGTTATGAATCGATCAGCAATAACTTAATCTTATCTTACATTGTAATCAAAGATATATCTTAGATGACTGAGTGTATATGTGTATATCAAAACTTAATGTTTTGACTTTGTATTTCTTATGCCTAAAAAATATAAGGGCTGACGTCAGGTCCATTCAGTCCACAAAAGTCGGATCATTGGAACAACCAGCACCTGCTTCCGTCAGGATAGTGAGTGCGCATCAGGCCAGTCAAGAGTTGTGGTGCTCCCATATGTCCAATCCCTGCTCTAAATCGTGCAAATCACTTTGAAAGGTGGACAATGTGACATAAAGAAAGATTTGCATGGATAATCCCATCAACTTACAGATTTAGTGATCATTGCCTCAGTACATCCCACTATAAATTGGGAGCTCCTCTCTCATGAAAGGGGATAGGCACATTTTTACACTTGATTAATTACTCTCTCTCTCTCTAGAATTCTTAGCATTTGATAACTTGTAATATTATTGTAAAGTCAGTCAGCTAAAAGCGACCTGACCATTGTCATCAATATAAGCATCAGTGGATGTAGGATTTGTTACCTTAGCATCCGAACCACTTTAAAAACTGTTCCCATTGCATTTACTATTTTGTTATCCTTTTCATTCACGTGTGTCTTCTGGGTCAGCTCAGCATTTCACACGTGCATTTCGTTGGTGTAAAAATCACGCATTAATAGTATTCTTAATTAATTCATTTGAACTTGTTTTAGGCATGCCTGATAAGAAGTTTAGAAAGTCATTCCAATATTCACTATATATTATATACAACTCGAAGTACGAAAATTGACTGCAATCTTCAATAAACACGTTTACGTATGAGAGAAAATTCTCTCATATACATTAGGAATAGTTCTTCAAATCTTAATAATTAATACTGCTGATAATTTTTAAAATGATCGTATAATTATAAAAATTTATTATTTTGATGTATAAATGATGTAATATATTAAAATGATTATCTTAGCATCTTAAGTGCACTAGTCATTCATTTAATTTACTTGAGAGGGCATTTGATTAAGAGAATGTTGTATTATTGAGAATGTTATTTAAGTGGAAGATAAATTACCTTGAAAAATTATTGGGAATGTTAATAAATATGTTTGGTTAGGAGGAATAAATTGGTGGATATGTTATATTGATATGTTTGATTGAGAGGAATAAAAATTGGTGGGTATGTTATATTATATAAATTATTGAATTGCTCTTTTTTTTTAATATTATTATTATATCATTATTTACTATTATTTTTAACCCCCTACATTTAAAAATTTAGCTAAAACACCCCCATAATAAAAGTTTAAAATTAATGAAGACACACCTACCCACCCAACATGTCGGCCGTCGACTACCAAACGGCAAATGGTCAAAATAGATCTGGCCGTTTTTTACCATATATGTGGCTGAAAATGGTCATATCGGTGCACAGCTGGCCCAATCTAGAACAATGTCAACCGTCGACAATGGTGGTTAGATCCTACCATAGTCATGCATAATATTTTTCAAGTTCACGAGTGTTTTCATCTTAAAAATTTTGTATATATGGATAAAATAGTCCTTGAATTTTTTTGTAAATTTTTTTTTTTCAAAACAAGGGTATTATTGTCCAAAAATTTTAATAGTTAAGGGTAAAATTGTAGCAAAATTAAGATTATCAAGTAATCTTAAAATACTTAAGAAAATAAAGATAATCAGATTAGAGCATCTCCAAATGACTCTTTATATGACCCAAACTCTTTATTATAAAGAGTTTATCCATAAAAACAAGAGTCCAACCGACTTTTTATCTTTAAAATATAAATTAGAGGGTGAGTTTGGCTCTCCACATTTAGAGAGCCAAATTTCACTCTCTATCCTAATTTTAATTAATAAACTACAAGTTCCTATGCATTTTATTTATTAATTCTCTCTCCCATTAAGTCTATTTCTTAAAATTAAAGAGCATCTTTATTAAATTTAAAGAGTTTATTAGATTTGAATAAAAATTGTGTTCTTTATATTTAAAAATTAATGAAGATGCTCTTTATTTATATGAAATATGTTCTTTAAAATAAAGAGCAATATTAGAGATACTCTTACTTCCTATATTATCAACAGTAATTACTATTAGTTTTGAAAGATTACTAGAATCGTATATTACTTGACATTACTTTAATCACTACAACATTATATATGTTTAGCCATGGCGTTCATTGTAGCTAAAAATATGAATTTACGTAGCTAAATGGTTTAGCTACAAATGCAATGTTTTGTAGCTTATCGTAGCTAGAAGTGGCGTTGCTAAGATTTAGCCATGTAACTTTTTGCTTATGTAACTAACAATTTATATTTTTTTGCTATAAATGAGATTAATATGTAATAAAAACTTAAATGTTTTTGCCATAACAATAATAAGTTTGTAGCAAAAACTTGGCCTTTATAGCCACAAAGAATAGTCTGTGTAGCTATGTTTGTATTTTAGCTACAAAAATATAAATTTATAACTAAATCTTGAAAATTTCTGCTACAAAAATAATATCCATAGCACATATATTAACCTTTTGGTTACGTGACAGCTAAAATCGTAACTAAATAAAAATATCATTTGCCACATATATAGTAAATTCATAGCTAAATTTTAATTTTTTTGCTACAAACATATGAAAGTCATATCTGTATATGAAAAGATTTTCCTTTGGACATAATGTGTTAATAGCTAAATATTGAAATTACTTGCTATGAATACTTTTGATTTGTAGCTAAATATTATACTTATTTGCTATGGACATATTGAAGTCATATCTATATGTCAAATTCAGTTGCTATGGACAGAGTTTGTTAATAGCTAAATATTGAAATAACTTGCTATAAATACTTTTAATTTGTAGCTAAATATTATAATTATTTGCTATGGAACAAATAATTTATATAAAAAATTTATAATTTATTGCTTCAATTAAAATTAATTGTACAAATATTGCTATAATTAACAAATTTAATAAAAATTACAAATTTATAGCAA